AAAAAAAAAAAAAAAAAAAAAAAAAAATCTACTTGGTTAGACCAATGGTTCAAAAAACTGCATTGCTTAACTGACAAAATTATTAAATTCACCACCAAAAGCAAAGCAAAACCAAAATTCACCACCAAAAGCAAAAACAAAATACCAGTGTTTCCACATGTAGAAACAAAAAAAGGAAAAGAAAAGAAAGTCTCAAATCAAAAAAAAAAAAAGCACCAGATAATTCTGAACATTAAGAAATTCAGGGCAATAAAATGTTTTCCAATTAATCTGCTTCAGTTCATAGTAATAAAAGAATTCAGCAAGTGAATTTGGATCACACAGAAATGACACACTACATTAGACTTTTTTTTAAAAGTCACTTAGCTGTCTTGCTGGGCATGGTAGCACATGCCTGTAATCTCAGCACTTGGGAGGCTGAGGCAGGAGGATCACTGCAAGTTCCAGGCCAACCTGGGCTACAAAGTGAGCTCAAGGTCAGCCTTAACTGCATAGCGAGACCCTGTTTTAAAAAGACCCCCCCAAAAAATAATAATAATTTAAAAATCCAATCCAAAAATAGCCATCTGAAATGAATACATACTTCTCACACGAAGAAGTATAAATAGCAAGTAAGTATTTGAAAAAATGTGCAACATCACTGGTCATTTGAGAGATGCAGATTAAAACAATGCTGATATTCTATCTCACTTCAGAAAAAAATGGCTATTATCAAGAAATCAACCAATAGCAAATGCTGAGGAGATGTGGGAAAAAAGGAATCCTTCTCCACTGTCGGTGGGAGAGTATACTGGTATAACCATTCTGAAAATCAGTTTGGAGATTCCACAAAAAACAAACACTAGAAATTCCATTTGACCCAGCTATCCCCCTTCTTGGTATATTCCTGAACAAAGCATCACACCACAGTGATATACACACACCTATACAGTTTGTAACAGCTAAATCCTGGAAACAGCCCAAATTCCCATCAACCAATGAATGGTTAAAGATGTGAGGTTTTTTATACAATGGAGTAGTACTCTGCCATGAAGAAGGATAAGCTTGAGACATTTCTAGCTAAATGGATGCACCAGTAGACCAGATTCTTTAAGTGGAATAAATCAGACACACGTTTAAATACCACTATTTCTCTAGTGTGAGAAACCAAAAATGCAAATAAGGTGCAAAACATATACCAAACCTTAGGAAATGGGAAGAAAATGTTCTAATGAGAAGGGGAAGAAGGAAGGAAAGAAGGGGAACAGAAGGAAGGACAAGAAAAACAAAGGAAAAAAGGGGAACAAAGCTATTGTAAATAAGGAGAGGAAGGACTGAAGGGACAGGAGAGAAATAGGGGGAAAAAGTAGCAGCAGCAAGATATGTCATGTACATATACAAACTAACTATGACGAATGTTATCATTACATATCTCTAAAATGTACCAAAACAACTTTGCAACTTTTGAATACATTCTCTGGAGCTTTTCTATACATAGATAGTAAAATAAAACACAGGTTCAGGCCAGGTGGGGTGGCGCACACCTGTAATCCCAGCACTCAGAGGCTGAAGCAGGAGAATCATTACAAATTCAAGACCAGCCTGGGCCTCGCACGCCTGTAATCCTAGCACTCGGGAGCCTAAGGCAGGAGGATCTTCAGGAGTTCGAGACCAGCCTGAGCTACAAAGTGAGCTCAAGGTCAGCCAGAACTGCATAGTGAGACCCTGCCTCAA